TGTGTGGTGATCCTATTACAGCCCTGGACGTCTCCTCTAAAGATAGAGCTGATTCCTGTGAGAGTCTTCTGCCTCTCTGCGTGTGAATTATTGTTGCACTGCCAATCTGTGCATGATTGTCGTCTGCATGAGGTTATGCGCGTTATACGGCGCTTATGATGGATGGCTGGTGTGTGACGCAGACAGATGTGTGTATTCTGTCACTATAACAGCCTCACAGAACACACACACCATGAAGGACGCGGTTCAGACTGAGCTCTTGATCTGGATGAGAAATGCTTGTTTTGTTTGGTGTAATTATGAAATTACACCACTTAAAGTGGCTAACAGATTGCTTTGTTTTTCTTTCTGGAAATACTGCACATGCTTCAGTGTGTCAGTGGCTCTGTAACTACAGAAAGCTTCTCCAGAATGTTTTTTAAAGCATCATATGCACGTTTCTGACATGATTCCTGAAGGTAGACGACAATATTATGGTGACACTGCAGACGGTCTACCAATCATTTCATCTCAGTCATTTTTATAAATGACAAGATTTTGTCATTCTCTCTTTCTGTTTCTTTAGCGGTAAGTCTGTCATGCTTTCCTGGCGTTTATTACACAGGTGGTTATCATATTTCCTGCTTTGAAAGTTTCATAGAATTTTTTTTTCATCTTTTTTTTTCATGAGTACGGAATTATTTTTATTTTATATTTTATTTTATTTTTAATAGAATTGTATTTTTTTATTTTATTCATATTTTCTGAGCCACAAATAATTTGTATTTTTTATTTTATTTTGATAGATTTTTTTCTTTTATTCATCTTTTCCATGAGTACTGAATTTTTTATTTTATATTTTATACAATGACAATATGATTTTATCGTTCTCTCTTTCTGTTTCTTTATATTTCTTTAGCAGTAAGTCTGTCATGCTTTCCTGGCATTTATTACTCCGATGGTTATTATATTTCCTGCTTTGAAAGTTTCATAGAATTTTTTTTTTCATCCTTTTTTAATGGGTACTGAATTATTTTTATTTTATATATATATATATATA